ACGAAGAATACAAAAAAATTCGCAAATAATTACTTTCGGTAATAAGTGCACCTATATATTTACAGAATTCTTTAATTTAAAAGAAACAGAGTGAAATTTCACTACGAAATTCTAATTTACATTATTTTCTAACCAAACAATTACTTTCAACGATAAGTGTACATTATAGTATATTTAGGTTAAAAATTTGGATGAAAAAGAAACAAACTGATATTTCAACACGAAATTCTAATTCGTATTATTTTCAAATTAAATAATTACCTTCGACAAATAAGTGTACTTATATTTTTATGGAATTCTTTAATTAGAGAAAAAGCAAGCTACCGAAATTTCCACACGAAATTCCAATTTACATTATTTCCTAATTTGAACGCAGCAATGGAAATTTAGTACGGTTTTGAAAAATAACAAGATGAAATGAAGTAACATAAGATAGATGCATGACCCAAATATAGATAACACAAGTAACGAACTGATTCTTGCTATCGCGACGAAAACGATGACCAACTTTTTTGCGAAACTTGGAGCAACTTTGAAGACGCTGAAGCTCTCGAAACTTTACGTTCCTCCTTTATAGCAGCCCTTCCTCATACTCTTCGGTTGCATGCTTCTTCGGACTCACCCTCGGGCGAGGAAACCCTGTCGCCTCGTTTCGGGGGTGGGTCGAGCGAGGAGGGCGTCAAGTAGACGAATCGAAGGGTTCCGTGAGGATTCGTCCAAGAACGAGGATCCACCTTCGACTCTCAGACACGTCTAAGACCCTGAATCATACTAGATGACGGCGGAGGAATTAGAAAAAATCTCGAAATCGAAATTACGATGACCACCATCCTTAGAGGGAGCAACGAAAAAGGTGTAGGTTATTTTACGTTATAATAATAACGATTTTCTGCAATTCGATGGATTTGAACGTATTTCACGCGTCGAATCTATTTACGAAGTAAATCGACGCACCGACAAATTTTCCATTATTGATTTTTAATTTCACGTAACAATCATATGCTGATACGTTGGTAACTGGATTATCGTATTTATTTCTCGTGTTTATTTCTGATATATATTTCTGAATTACTGCAATTTATTTTATGCACCCATTTTTCCTACTTTATTTAGCGAGTCACCGTTCCGTCGAGTCGAGACAACTTGAAATTGTAATATATCGTTAAAATGGAGACTAATGTATCTCGAAATCGTATAAGACATATGAGCGTAACGAGATGTAAATGTAAATTACGCGTAAATTGATATGTCCGATGTTTTATAGACAGAAAGAAAAGAACCTATTTGAATATTAAGAAAATTAAATACACTGGAAAAATAAATTGATTACAATTTATAAATTGATGTGAAAATTATTTAATATGTCAAGTACAACGAACAAACATCGAAATGCGTAAAAGAAAATTTTTAAAAACCATTTTTAAGTCCATTTAACCATTTAAAAGGAAAAATAATCGAAAACTTCACTGCATTCGTGAGAAGAAATTTTGCAAAAATGAACAAGAAGTTATAAAAGCATCATTTTAATATATTACCGAGAAGCTTTCAAATTAAAAATAGACATTCATAAAACCGATAAAAGTAGAGGAAAAAACTTTTATTTAGGGAGGAAAAAACTTCGAAACGGGAAAAGAAAGTGGCTCCGACCCAAGCAATCGCCGATATTCGAAGAGTAAAATAGCCAAATGTATCGAATAAATAAAAAAAATCTGAAATGCAACTCGTGATTAGATATTTGGTAAAGGCATTAGAACACGGGGCACGGGTTTGCCATGGTACAGCAGCGGAGCAACCAACGGGAATTAAGGCTGAAAAACTTATTGTAGACAATCACGCGCGCGCACACACACACACACACACACACACACACACACACACACACACACACACACACACACAAAAAAAAGAAAAAGAAAAAAAAGAAAAAAAGAAAAAAGAGGCAAAGGTTTGAACGAGAGTAGACGGAAAAAGGGAATAGAGCAGGACCGGGGACGTTCATGCACGATACATAGATTCCGAGAGTGGATGGGCTCGTTCATGGAATTACAAATCATCGAAAAGCTGTGCGCGAAATACAAAGACGGGTAGAAATTCGCTGAAAAACCTATTCTATTCGTTACACCATCCCAGCGAACGCGACTCGTAGGCAAACGATGCACGCGGCCGTGAAACGAAGAGTTTCTCGACTCGCGCACGTAGCTGGGTCAGGTATGGGTGTACGTTACAATCAAATACCGAAAACGGGGGAGGGGGGTAGGTGAGGTGGAGGCGAGGAGGAGGAAAAGAATTAAAAAAGCTATCTGCCGCGGGATAATAAAAAGAAAGACACCGCGCAGAGAAGAAAAAGGGAGGCAGAGAGTGTAACGCTAAGGGTTGGTAAGAGGGTGTCAAGGAAGATGCGAGAGAGAAGCGAGAGAGAAGCGAGAGAGAAGCGGGAGAGAAGCGGGAGAGAAGCGGGAGAGAAGCGAGAGAGAGGGAGAGAGAGAGGACGGCGAGGACGAAGACGAGGAGGAGGAAGAAGACGAGGACGTGGCGGAAGGCAAGGATGAGAGAGGGACGCGAACGCGAGGCTGGTAGAAAGGGAGGTCCCACGCGAAGCAGGCAGCAGTAGTGGTGAGGCACATATTGGCTAGACGTTTGTGTGAGTGGTTGGAAAAGCTAGATGGCAAGGTGGAAAGAAAATCGCTCGCAGGCTATTTTCCGGAGGAATTTTTATTGGTAGGTCCGCCATGTTGAGGGAGGAGTGGGGGTAGAGCGAGTGGCAGCAAACGTGCCAGGATTGGTGGTCGTCCGGGTAACGCATCGTTCGAGCATCCAATGGGATAAAGCGAGGAGAACCTCGTGCTTTCGTTGCCTGACCGAGCACGGGGGTGAAAGGGAGCGCTGGTTACAGGCAACAACCCCCTACCATGGTAGCAGCCCCTCTAAACGTTCTCTGTCCCCCCGCGGAGTCACCGGGATAACTGCATTTCGTGGACAGAATCCCACAAGAACTCACGGCGAGCGGTCGCCCCTCTAACACGGCCGACTCTCCTATCGTTTCGGCTTTTTCCTCCACGTAACGCGTTACCTACCACGGCACGAAGGAAGGGCGCGAGTCATCCTGGACGCTTCCACCTCGTCCTCGTCCTCGTCCTCGTCCTTATCCTCGTGCTCGTCTTCATCTTCGTCTTTATCTTCGTCGTACGCCGCGCATCATTTTTGTCCTCGCGACGGCTACGCGAATCTCTTTCCCCGCGCAGTTTCCATCGGGCACGCGCCATTTCTCCACAATTATTTCGATATTTCAATTTTCAAGGGCACACCGTCTCCGTGATACTTACCCCTACCCCCACCGTTCGTCTACCCTCCAGTTCTAACCCGCCTAATTGCATCGACGAGATAATAAGATTTGAATTTCGAATCGAGGCCACAGTGGCGGTATCGTCCGTTCGCGATTAAACAGCCGCGCGTTTTCTCTTCGCTCTCTTTCACCCTCTTCTTCATCTTCGTGCCGTTTCATCCGTCCTCCTCCTCCACGTGCATTTCTTTCGGCATTATCGAGCAAACGGAAAAGTTTCTTTTATCTTTTCCTCTTCGTCTTTTACTACTCCTCCTCGATTCTCCCGCTTATCCCATCGGCTGCATCGTTGCTGCATTTCCACCGGAACATTGTTGGGATTCCACGCTGACGAACATTTCCCGTGAACGCTGTCAGACTCTCCACCAGACCTGTCGCGCCAACTTCCATCCACTGGATCGTCCAAACCTGTCTACCAGGATTAAGATCGAAAGAGAGTACACGCTGTTGACCATTCCGACGGTCCTGCGACGTCTCTGCGACGTCCCTGCGACGATCCCGAGTTACGTTAGCGTGCAGGGAAAGGAGGATAGTGATCTCGTATTCGCAAGAAGTAGAAAGCTTCGACGAATAACAGAATCGAGACAGACTTTGGAACGTGACATTCTCCTATAGTGTACTATCGGATGCTTTTAAGAACCGAGCAAGGATTCTCTTATCACGCATCTCGGAGATAGCCATCTGTGAAAATCATCCGCGAGCACGATTGCTGCCATCCGTTGCGAGGATTTACGAGCTTAGAAACACGATTCAAGCGACAAGTTCTTGTACAGTGTCGTCGATATTGTGTTGTAAAGAAGTGAACATTCCGAATATGTGCAAACGGAGATAACTGTTCCTGAAAATTGCAAGTTACCTTTCGTATCCGTGCAGAGTACCATGACTATTCGAACAGAGAGTACGCTCTAAAGCAACAGAGAACGTATCTTTCAACTCTCCTGTCTAATTTCTCAGAGTCACCGAGTAATCATTCCAAACGTCATAATCACCCGTACATTTACACCGTTTACATTTACAGTCGTTACATTTACAGTCGTTTTACGACCCAAAGCTACCTAAGCTGCAACTTCTCTCTAACCAAATAGCCCGAGATACCAAATAGCACGAGATGTTGATCGAATAGAACGCAAGGAACCAATCTCTTACCAGTGTCGAGGAACGTCAAAGCGAATACATACGAATACAACCTTTTCTCTCAACGCGAGTACGCAATATTTCGATCTCGAGTCGAATCGATACAGCAATTCTGTGTTACGAAATCGAGAAACAGAAGGAAGCAAGAGGAATAATCGGGCAGTCTACGTGGATTTTAGCGAAAGAGCAAGCCGTGACGTATAGACGAGGACTGATCCAGTTCCTCTAGAAGGGGAACAACGGAGGATGTCCTGGTAGGTCGTGAAAGAACATCAGGAGCATTTGGTTCGAGAGACCTGAACAAGGTCAACCCGGCATCACCCTGGCTAACGACCTGTCTGGAGGTACCGGGGGTCCCGGTGCAGGCGGCGTCGGTTCCGTCGGGGGCACCTCCGTCGGTGGCGGCGGTGGCGGCGGTTCATCGCTGCCGACGACCGCTCTAAGCCTCGATCATCAGCAGTTCAACATCTTCCCTGCGATTTTTAGCAGGCAGCTGAACTTTTCCGCCGCGGCAGCTGCGAACTGCGGTCAGAACAAACTGATGGACGAGCTCAGGCCGAACCTCGGATTGCTCGGTGTGGGTCTCGTGGAGAACGAGAGCTTTCACTTGAACCACAATCAGGAGAAGAGGAAATGTAGCAGCACCAGCTCCAACGAGCAAGATTTCAGTCTCTACGGGGTTCACCAGGGCCTCGAGGCCAGCCCGCCGACACCAGCCGCGACGCCCGGAAGGAGCAGCGTTGGGGCTACTTCTACCGTTGGTAAGCATTCCTATTATCAACTCATCTACTCCTTTCGTCTTTCTTTTCTCTATTTCAAGATTTATAATTTCATTCTACTCTTTTTCGAATCGCAATCAGATCCCAGTGTTTCTAATCGTTTATATACCGATGCTCTACTAAGTATTCGCGTTTCATGATTCAGTCTGGCTATCTGTTATCGTGTAATTGTATTTCATTAGTCTACCGTTATGACAGTATTGAACTGCTAGTTCGTAATTTCAAATTATTTCATTTCGATTTAGAATTTCGCAAGAAACTGAGAAATAATTATAATTTTCACTTTGTTCTGGGCAAACGAAATTGTAGTTGCGTAAAGTTAATTAAAGTTCCACGAACGTAACATCGCGTAGAACATAATTAGTGATTTACACAATAGCATGTTACTGCATTATGTAATATGCTTCATAAATAATAATTGTAATTTTCCTATTGCTACTATTACTTTAAATAATTTTATTGCTCCTTTCGATGGTTGGTTTAAAAGGCAAATCATCTTGAAATACTTGAAACGCGTAAAGTTTCAAGTAAAGTAAGAAATACTATAATGATACCTTTAGCAGAGTAAAAAGCATCTTTGGTATCGCGATATTTATAAACCTCTAAGGACACAGCTAAACAATGAAATTAATAAGAAAACGTACGAGAACGAAATATATTTCTAGGTAAATCTACGATCAACTATGGTCCAACTAACCATACGCGATTGAAAAAATCAAGAAATCGAGATTCAAAATGAAAAGCTGTAGTTGCCTGTAGTTTGTTTGATTTTGGGACAGAAATACAACGCGATATCTCGATACGATCCAAGTTTCTAACGTAATAACAAAATACATTTGTTTAATTAGAAAATGCAAATTAACGATAGTCCGTATAATAGTCTAAACAAACAGACGCGACTGATTAAATCGGAAGATTCCAGTTAAAAAGCTCCAACGACTCGTAAAATGAGATCTACATTTCGACAATGATTTCGGTACTGAAATATACGTTCTATCTAGATACAGACGAAATTTTTCAATACGACAAAAAGTTCCTGTTCAGATAAAACGCAGGCCAACCAATTACGCATGACCGATTAAGTAAAAATATCGAAGCTCCAGTTAAAACGCTCTAATATCTCGAGGAGAATTTTCGAAACTGAAATATACGATACAATATCGCATTTCGATATAAATTAACTTTCTAATATAATGATAAAATCCGTTTGTAAATAAATAACGGTTTGATCAATCATAGATGACTAATTAAGTGAAAGGGTCGAGACAGAAGTCAGAAAGAGTCAATTACGAATAAAAAGATCATTTCAGCGATAATTCTCTGCCGGAAATGTACTTATCTTCTCGATATAAATGTATCTTCTTCTTCGGATAAATCTTGCTCTATCCAATCACACGTGATCGTGGTAATCGAAAGTTTCAAAAAAGATTCAAGTTGTAAAGCTGTGATTAGCGATGAAAGGCGATTTATATCTCGAGGATGATTTTCAAACAGAAATGTACAACGTGTCATCTCGATATAGATGAATTTTCCGCTTGTTGAGCCTCGAGTATACATGTACGTCGGCAACACGATCGGTTATAGTGTTGACAATGGGGAGCGGGACTAGACCATATGGTGGTACCTGTTCTATAGGCTATTATTATGTGCTCGTGGGGTTTAAGAGAGCTTAGCACCAAGGGCGTGCTAATGGGGTTCCCTGAAATCGCTGGATGTAGACTGTGAACGGTACTCTATCTTTATCCCTCTTGCTACAAATTGACAGTGACTTGTACTTACTGCTAGGATTCGGTACGATCCAGCTGTTGGTTTTACAGGTTCGAAACTTTTCGTACATGTACACGGAAAATGTAACGTGCGATAAATTCGTCTGTGGAGTTTGTTCCAAGAAAATGCAACGAGTAAATGGAAGAACATTTTTAAATTATTGCAGATAAAGGATGATGGAGATAAACTAGTTATTTACATAAGTATATTTAAAATTCTTACTTGAATAGTATATTTATTTAGAGAATTTTAAGTAATAGTTACTAAAATTGCTTTAATATCGCATTTTGTGCATTATTTATTTTAATCGAATTGAATTGTGCTAGTGTAAGGGTTAATTAATTAACAAGTGAAAACTAGTAATCGTGGTAATATAGAAAATTCAATTTTATTTAATAATGACCTGTGAAACGTTGATTTGTTATAGTATTATCGTTGTAATTATTGGTATTCTTTTCATTAATTAAAAACCAAGTAATAAATATAAAATATTTACCTGCAGCTATCAAATTTTCAACGATTGATTTATTTTTACCGATAGAAACGAAGCTAATGGAAAAAGTAAAACTGTATATTACAAGAGAGAAGTATAAAATGTAAAAGCAGAGATTTAATTTTGAATTACACAAAAAACGATAATGCCGTACAAGGTTATGTCAAAAACAAGGGAAAAAATATGAAAAAATGTAAGTCCATAAATTCAAATATAAATAACAATTTTATAATCAATATTGCAACAGGTAAGTGAAAAACATTAAACTTTCAGATGAAGAGAGAGAGAGAGAGAGGGGGAGAGAGAGAGAGAGAGAGTAACAAGAAACTTGAAGTACATTTAGGAATTTCCTAGAAAAATTTTTAATAGAAAATTGCAAAGACATTTATATTAAAAATATCGATTTACCAATGAGTTTAGTATTATTTGATTTAAAGTAGAATAATAGAATAAAAATTCGTGTATTATATATTTGAACATTTTTTAACCTATTTTATTTTCTTCGCAATACAAATAAAGTAGTTAATAAAATTCTACAACACATCAAATAGATATTACTTGCAATAAAACTTCTTTGCTATTTTTCTATCCGACAATGTAAGGCAAAAGAGATCAGTAACTATTTACCTACCCTCCGTTAAAAAATCAGATAACATATTCCATCTCACTCTAGGTAAGATAGACTGATTAATAAAATTCTACGATACACCAAAAGTTATTATTTGCTTATTACTCACACATCCAGGCAATCCTTTTCTTTTTAATATTAAACATTTTCGTAATATACATAATAATTCGTTTACGCTATAATATCGGATATGATTTGAACAAAAATGAAAATCGTTGGTGTATTTGTTAGAAATAATTATTTTAGAAATAATTAGAGGACGAAAATTATCTTATTTGGTTTTTGCATATGTACTTCTGTTGTGTTATTTATTTCATGTCCGTTATTAATTTCTATCATTCGCTATATCATTGATCGTGACATGAAACATTGTTAATTATCGATACGAATATACTTCGAAATAATCTGTAAATATTTCAGTAAGTGAAATGAGTATAAATAAACGCAAATTCATTAGAAATTTTCAGGGTATTATTCACGAATACTGCCTTTATGTAGCAGCCATATTCGCTGAGAAAATAAGCATTTAGAGATATTAAGTCTCATTAACGAACGTAATCACTTTTTCATAATTTTTCTCATATTTCTCATTATTTAAGAATAATAAAAGGAATGCAAAACAAAGTCCAATTCGAATATCGAACAAATAATGTACAACTTATCTATAATTCGACTTTTTTCATTTAAATCTTTTTTCTACAGAAATTTATTTAAATTTATAACACATATAGTTTAAGGATTTTATAGATTTTATATTCCATCTGCCCGTAATGTATCTTGTATCTAACAAGTTAATTTTTTAATATCGACAATTGACTTTAAGAATATTTGGTTTCGTTACTATTCTTTTTAATTTACTAAACTCAAGCAAACTCGAAATGCTAAAATCGATTAAGTTTACTATTCGCTGAGACTTCAATCTTACGCTTGTTTCGAATAAAATTAACGCAATACTATCTCGTTGCAACAAACTGAAAGGTCGTTAACATTCCTTAAACGTGAAATTCATTTCGAATCGACCTAATTGTAACTGAATTTTTCATCGTAATTTAAATTAATCGTGTCGACTATGGTTAATTCGCTGTATCGTAAAATCAACTTGCGAAGTTTCTAAAATTTTGTTGGAAAGAGTCTAAAACCTTCATCATCGATGGGAAAGAAATGTGCAAGACCCTTTCAATTGGGATTAATATCTAAAAAGGAAATACACGAAGATCAACAGGTCGATCTGTGGGTCTTTATCATACTCCTGGTGGATCTTATTATTCGGTAATGAATTTCACGCGATGGGACCAATTTAACCAGGGAATGCCCCACATTTTGTTTCTCCCTTCAAGGTCAGACTTTTCAGAAACCAGATGAAACTGCCTTAGTATTCTAATGCAAATGAAAACTCTGCAACGTCGAGCTAACCGAGAAGGGGGTGAAAAGGGAGAAAAAAGGGGAGAGAGAAAGAGAGAGAGAGAGAGAGAGAGAAATGAAAGAAGGGAAGCGGAGAAAGAGAGAAACGGGGAGGGAAAAATTAATGTCGTTAACCCTCCGCGTTCTCCGCGGCATTAAAAGTACTCAAGCGATGGTCTTCCGCGCGATTCCCTAGCCCCTTTTAATACGTGAGCCCGCGAAATTTCTCTGCTACAAACGACGGCTGCCGTGTCTGTTTTTAAAAAGAAGATTTAATATTACTACTTGAACGAACTTAAGGCAAGTCAGCTTTCCGTACCGGCTGATAAACTTTTTTTTATTCTATTTAATGGGAATCTTCCATACTGATTGTAGAGAATTAATAGTCGATATGATCTTTCACACAAACGATATAACACTTTTTCAACACGTTTTCCTTGCAATTGAAATCTTTTAATTTTCACTCGGATTGTTGAAATTTGAACAGGGGTCTGTTTGTGGATTAGTAGTAATCGGTATATGTATGTAAAAAAAATATCGAGAGTATTCTTTTATTTATTATATTCTTTTCTTTTTATTTGACTTTCGTGAAATCTTGTTTAATGTAACACAGTCTTTGCTGCAATTGAAATTTGTTAATTTTGACTTGGATTGTCCAAATTTGTACAAAGGTCTACTTGTGGTTTAGTTTCG